GACTGGGCACGAGATACTAAGTTTTTTTGATGTTTATTCCGGATACAACCAAATTCAGATGGACTCGGGCGACCAAGTAAAGATTTCTTTTATAGCTAAATTTGGCACCTACTGTTATAACGTAATGCCATTTGGGCTAAAGAATGCCGGTGCCACATATCAACACCTAGTTAACCGGATGTTCGAAGAAAAAATAGGAAAATCAATGGAGGTTTATATTGATGATATGTTTAGTGTCACGACCCAAAATCCAACTAGTCGTGATGACACCTTATCCAACCTGCTCGGTAAGCCAATGAACAATAATCCAATTCAAGTGAGATTTACTGAGGAAATAAATGGTGAAATAACGGAACTTTATACAAAATCCCAAGGATTGGTAGTACAAATCATGTGCTTTGTAGATTTAGAGTGCAAAACTACTATGAAATAAATACATCATTTGTTCGAAATGTACTTAAACAGATTTTTATAAATCTGAAACTACCATGAACAAAAGGCAGCTATAACCAAAACACAGGTTCATCTTCAATGCCAGCTCCTGCCATACACAACAACATCGGCTCCAAAATCTGCACGCAAGGTGCAGAGGTGTAGTATGAGTACAACTGATCCTACGTACTCAATAAGCAACAAATCTAACCTTAAGTTAAAAGTAGTGACGAGCTTGGACAACGGTCAGAGTCCAACACCAATAGCCAAGAACAACTCATAACAATATAATAAAAATAATACAAGTAATAACTCAAATATATGATGCTCAACTCGTTCACAATTACAGAAAATAGGCATGATTTTTAGGTATAACAGTAAAACCCAAATCTTTCACCGAAATCACCAGAATGTGAGCATATCAGAAAAACTGTGATTTTTCCCAAAATCTTTCAACAACAGATAAGATATTTCATTATCAGATGGCATGAGGAATGCGGATCAACATCGAAATAGGAAGGAAGAACCACCATGTGCGCGACATGGTGTCTGATCTCTGCTCGATAGGCTAAGCCTTCTCCCCACAATATCGTGTGGGTCGACATGTGTACATGGACTGATGCTAGCAATAAATTCATCTCAATCAAGGGAATAATCTCATCATAGTGCAAGGAAATTTGTCTCTCAATCATCTCCTACACCAGTACGTGTAGTTTCGAGTATGAGCCTTTACAAACCCTATATATATATATATATATATATACACACACACACACACAATAACAACAACAACGACCCAGTAAAATCTCACTAGTGGGGTCTGGAGAGTACAGTGTGTACGCAGACCTTATCCCTACCCTGAAGGAGTAGAGAGGCTATTTCCGAAAGACCCTCGGCTCAAGAAGACAAAAAGACAAAATGTGACAATATCAGTACCACCACAGAAATCATAGGAAAAATAGAAACAACATAAAATCTAGAAGATAGATGCAAAGCAAAGGATATATATATATATATATATATATATATATATGTATGTATGTATGTATGTATGTATGTATGTATGTATGTATGTATGTATGTATGTGTGTATGTATGTATATATGTATGTGTGTAATTCATCTCATAGCCCTTCATATGATTTTTCGTTTCATTGGAACTTTCAACCATGCATAACATCTTCATTCTTGGCACAATGGGCACATGTCAAATATTTTCTTTCATTTCATAATATATGCCTTAAGTCATCAAAAATCATAGAAATGTATTCAAATTATTGGCAGACCATAATTTCATATTCATGTGCATATGGAAATTCAAAAGTAAGCATTAAAATATTTTCAAGGAAAAGAGCATGGCATTGGCAATTAAGACATGTCTAGAGTTTCATGAGCATTTGGCAGTTCCAATATTTGAAACGTTATAACTGTAAACACACGAGTACATAAAAACTTAAACATTTGAGAAAATAATTCAAAGGAGGAGGGCATAATGGTGGCAAAGTAACATGAATCAAGACCATAAGCCATTGGAACATCAATCATACTGAAATATTTTCTCAAAGGAGAGTAATATAATAGCGGTAATTGGAACATGACTTGAGTACACAAGCATTTGGGTAATTCATCCATTAGTAGCAATTCGAAACGATAAAAATAGGAACTAGAACAAACCATGCTTGGAGTTTATAAAGAATTCGTGGAATCCGATTCTAAGAAAGGAGTTTAGCCAACATACCTCGAATTCGCCCCTTAATGATACTATGAAAGTCCACCACACTAAACAACTTCAATCTACAATAATGCAACATATTTGTACTAGTATTACTAAGGATGTTTTATATTTTGCTCACTTATGCATTATATCAAGCATCTAGTATGCACATTTCTCTACAACCTTCATCAATAATATTTCTTTATCCAATACCCTCTCTTTGTCCGACCAATTCATACAAAAACTAACCTTAAATAGCTTAGGACCTCCACCAACATATTCATATTTTACCATCTACTCCCAGCCAACCAATTATTAAACAAATCACTTTTCATGCTCTACAAATTCTCAAAATTTCAATTGGTGAACTTATTGCTTCCAATCACCATCCCACAAGTTCTACCTCTAAACTCATACTCATATATTCATTATTAAGCCATTCATACAAGTCCAAAGAGATGGAATTACCTTTTGGGAGTAAATCTTGCAAAGTCCCCACTTGAGCTTTTGGGAAGATTCCTTGAAAATCTTATGATTGCATGGTAGATTGAGTTAGTTTTAAGGTGAAAATGATGGAATGAAACACCAAATTAGTGGGTATTACTCAATTTTAAGATGGAAGGAGTTGGAGGTCTTGAGAGGGTGGAGAGGAGCTCCAGGAACCATCCAAGAGGAGTGGGAGAAGTGAGCTATCGAAACTATGATTACACGATGTCACCCTCATTTGTTGACATCTGATATGCAAAACGAAAAATGGAGATCTCGAGACGCCATTTAAGGCCATAAACCCTTAGCAAAATTTTTCCTTGTTCCGCCTGCCTTATTTTAGCAATTTGATCATAACTTCTTGTAGAAATATCCAAATGACAAAATTTTTTAATCCATTTGAAACCAAACTCGAAGGACTACGCTTTAGGGACAAAATTTATGGAAAATATCTTTATACAACAACAACGACCCAGTAAAATCCCACAAGTGGGATCTGAAGAGGATAGTGAGTACGCAGACCTTACCTCTACCCCAAAGGAATAGAGTAGCTGTTTCCGATAGACCCTCGGCTTAGGAAGGCGAAAAGAGACAATATATCAGTATCACCAACAAAAAAAACCATAGAAATAATATCAACATCACAAGAACCAGTAAATAAATGGAGGAAAATATCTTTATTCTATGAGAATAATACTTGCTTAAATGCATGTGTTGTGCAAATTTAGATATCTTTTCCACTTAATATATCCAACTTTTTCCAAACAAATTCTTCCCACCTATAAACCTCCTCAACATGTTTTAGAAACTATTTTCACATATAATTATTTATATTAAGGGGCCTTACAAGTACCTCAACCCCTGCAATCAATCCAATTATAGTTAACTCTCCTAGACTATAAACTTTAGCCTAAAAAACTTCTAAATAAATTCTTAGAATTTGATAATCTACAAATACACTTATCCAAAGAAAAATAGGTTACAATTAAGGAATACTAAATCAAGACTCAACAACTGAAGAACTAGACAACATCATCTTCAGACCAGGTTTTTCAATTACGCAGCTTGAATTCGTGAAAGCACCTTTTTGATATGATTGCTATTCACCAACAGTGATTTGCAGTATTTGTGCGAAATAGTGTTAGCAATAATAGCAGCAACATGATGCTTTGTATAGGCATGAAGTTGGGCCAAAATCTTCTCAAATGTTTGCTCCAAAACCTAAAATATATCGGTTAAGGAAAACAATCCCAACTGAACTTGATTTCCTAAAATATTTCCAACTTTACACGCCTTTTCTTCTATGCAAGTATTCCCATAAATAGAATCCTTGTTGAACACAACTTCTTCTGGCTAGTACAATACTTGTAGCCAGCGAAAAAAACCTCCAAAGAATTCTACTTGCACTAGAAATCGATTTGCAGCTCCTGATCAACTCATCGAGGAACCTGGTTCTTTAACATCAGCTTGACAAGTCATCAACCTTGTTTATTGCACCAAAAATATCTTCAAAAGACCCGGTTCTTTAATCACTCTTTGTTGATCATCAAAATTAATTTTAGCTCAGCTCAATACCTACTAATCACTACCTTACCTTTCCTGTATAAGAAACCATTTCTCCATTCATACCCTGGCTTAGAGTCTTGCATTTTCCTCCAATTCATTGATAGTACTGGATATCTTGTCATATTATAAGTATGAATCTTTAGCTCTAATGCATTGTGATAGTACTGGATATGTTGTCATTAGTAAGAGTCTTTAACCTGCTGTAATAGCTGGCAGTGACCAGGAAATCAAAGTGCAATTTTGTGCTCAACCCTGCATTTTCTTTCCTTTTTTATTTTTTTTATTTTTTTTTATAGACAATGGCATAGTCATATCCCATCAACTTGGCTGCCCACTTCTACTGACTAGGAGAGGCTATCATTTGCTCCAAAATATGATTCAGACTTTGATGATCTGTTTGTTATAAAATGTATACCCATCAAATATGGTCACCAGTCACCACTTCTGGATTGCAGTTACAATAGCAAACATCTCATTTTCATACAGTTACACAAACTAGTGCTTAGGCCCTGAGGCCTTACTGAAAAACGCTGAAGGTTGTCCCTTCCGCATTACAACTCCCACCTTTCAACTACATAGCACCCTCAAGAACCAGCAAAGCAGCCTTCTACATTCATTGCTTCTTTATATATTTGTTTTAGACAATCATTTGTCGCTACAAACGCCTCATAGATGTGTATACAATAATTTGAACGACAAAAGTAATTAGACTGTAAGATTCTGTTTGGAACTCAAAAATAGGAAAAATGAAAAAGATATTTCTAAAGAAACCAAAGCATACTATGTTGAAAAAAAATGAAGGTTTTCTCGCATGAGCTATTCAATAGTATAAAATTGAAAATTATTGGGTGAACCAGATCAAATACATGAACAGATACCAAAAGAATTATTTTTTATTTACAATTTGGTAACGACATGAAAAGCATGTCCAGGGTGACAGCATATATCTTTTAGGGAGTACAACATCCTTCAAGAAGGAGTTTCAGTCATATTTAACAGAAGATAAAAGCCATAATTATAGAAGAAGCCGTCTAAGATCAGATTGAAGTTGAGCAAGAGAAAACACAAGTCATTCAGAAGCAGTTCAAATTTTGAAATAGTTTTAGAGGAACCTAACAGGTTAACTGATCATCACACCTGAAGAGAAACTGAGTATACAGACATTTGTGCGTCGATGATCATAGATGCATTGGAGTCTTCTAACTCTTTCTTGCAATTTGATTTTTATGCCTTGATTGTAACAGTACAAAGGCACGCACCAGATGGCTTTATGTCACAAGTCTGCCACTGTGATTCTGGAGCTGCATTAGGATTATATAGCAGGGTGTTATAACCAGGATTGCCTTGTAGAGAAAACAGTAAAAGCTTCCCATCCAGTATGCCAAACTGGAATCGAATGCTTGAACTCCCTGTCACTGGAACTGGCTCCATCTTCCATGAATTGTCCTCCGGATTGAAAATGGATAGTTTCCGCTGGTTCTTCCATTCTATGCAGAAGAGCTTTTTTTCCAGAACAGCATGAGCGGTAACCATAACACAACCTTTTTTCATCTCGCCCCAAGTGTGACTCTTGGGATTATACACATCAACAGACCTTGAATTCCCAATTGTAAAACTTGATCGACCACCCATAATATAAAGCTTTCCCCCAAATCCACACGCAAAGCAGCCCCACCTTGGCCTGCGAAGACTCTCGATCACAGTCCATTTATCTTGATCTGGATCATAAACCTCAGCACAAGAAAGAGATTCTCCATCTATCCCGAAACCACCAACTGCATAAACCATTCCATTCACCTCAGCACAAGCAAAATCATAACGTGCCATGTTCATGCTAGCCATTTTGCTCCACCTGCCCAAGATATATAAAAGGAAAAAAAGAAACATGAATCATTCAAAACATCAATAGATCTCTTATACCTTTAGATTTCAAGCAGGAAATAATATAACTCAGTTCAAATCAGCAGATCAAATTGCACACACAGTCTTTATGCCAGGCTGTCATCCTACCAACAAATAAAGGGAAATTGTGGGAAGAGAAAAGAGAAGCTACTACTTCCAAAAGGGACCAGCCTAGTTGTGGTGTCAATTGACCTAGTAATTCCAAGTGAAGTTTACTCCGGCCAGGGATGCAAATAAACCAACAGATCCATAATGTCAATCAACAAAGTCTATGTTTCTATTTTTTTTATTGTTAAATCCACAATGTCTATTTTACTTGCAACAATTTCTGAGAAGGAGATGACAAGGGTTTCCAATATTTGAAGCACTCTTAAATCAGACGCAGGTGAGCAAATTTTTAATGATAAATACACTTGGATTGATAGTGTTTTTATATTGGTGGTAAAGGCAAAGCTATCTCAAAAAGCATTCTGGCACATGTCTACTAGGAAAATGGGCAGTTGAAAGTACACAAAAATAAGGAAAACTACATTACAGTAAGGCATAATAACGAATCTCGTGATTGATAATGATGAAAACAAGAGAGAATCTAGGGAAGTTACCAAAATATTTGGGATATCTTGGAAGTTGAGTGGCTAGTAAAGTAAAATCAGCGATAAATGTTTTTAAAAACGATAGCAAGGTAAACAACCCAAATCACAACCACCAACACATTTTTCATCTGTAAACATGAAAAACAAAATCCAGAAATTTCTATCAAGGTTGGGTCAGCTACAACAACAACAACGACCCAGTTAAATCCCACTAGTGGGGAAGGTTGGGTCAGCTAGATAATTTATTTTTGGGGAGGAAAACTAAATTATCTTATATGGAACGGCACCGCCAAAACCTCCTACTCATGCATTATCCCACCTTACAGTAGTTGAAAACATGCGTCCATTTCGCCCCAAAAAAGAGAAGGAAATAAAAACAGAAGCACTGACAGACCTGTTCAAGTAAGAATCGTATTGATAAACGTCGGTTGACACCGACCCAGATTCATCAATCATGGAATGACCACCCATAACAAGAAGTTTACCATTGAGAACTACAATTCCAAAAGCAGCCTTTATATGACCGGGCATCTGTGGGAGCTGATGGTGTTTGTTTCCTAAACAGTCGAAAACCTCCCAGTAGCTTTCTCTTCCTTCAGCATTCACAGTCAGGACATAAAGCCATTCCTCAAGCAGACCAGCCAGCTTTCTAATGCTGATAAACTCTTTGCTTCGCAGAAATGACCTCCACCGCTTGCAGGCACCACCCATAGCAGGAAAATCGGATCGGGGAACAAGTGCAAGGCAATACTTTGCCACATCATCTGGCAGTCCAGGCAAGATGGGGCCATCAGACACATAATTATAAGTTAAAAAGGAATCAAAACCTAGACTATCTTGCTGGCTCAAATCTGTGGAACACATACTCGATGCAGTGACTCTCTTGTTTCCGCTTACAACACCAAGCATTTTTTAAAACAACAATTTTTTGACAAAGTGATACGATCATTGACCAGGCCTCTTCTCTAAAGTAATTGAATAAATTGGCAATTGACTAAAGAAATTCATGATATCCTTCACTAATTGCAATCTTAGAAGACCAAGGGATAAAAGACGTTGAAGAACTGATCACTTGTGCGGTAAAGGTCAATGATTTTCCATGCTTGGTCCAATCAGAGTCAAATTCCATGCCACTTCTTCGGGTCCTATGGTAAAACTTGTTAGACGGACAACCCTTGCTGCTACCACTTTCTATTTTCCGCAAGTTTTCTGCTACCCCAAGCATTTCCCAAATACCTATTCAGAAAAGTAAATGTTTTTAAGTACCTTTCAAAAGCAAAAGAAGACTAACGAATAACTACTCAGTAAAAAGACACAGATTTATTTAGAAAAAGATAAAAAAAATTGAAGGAATACCTTCCAATGCCATAGAATTTAAAGGTCTCAACCTCCTGTTACTTCCATCCTGTACAAGGCTCCAAGCAAAGAATCACCTGCTCAAGATCATACAACGAGTCATATATAGTTACTTCATCATCACTCTATGAAGAAATATTCTCCCGAACAGCAAAACCAAATTACCACCATTAAGCCTTTCAACATTAAACAATAGAAAATTTGTGAATAAATGCTTCAAAATGCAAACAAATCAAAAATAAGAGGGCAATTAGTAGACAACTCGGCCACTGCCTCGCACATACTCCTCTCACATGAACAAAGCAAAAGTAAGGCATGCCAACAGGGTCAGATGTAGTATTTAAGTGACTGCTTCAATTGAACTGATAACTTCCGACGCCGAGTATAAATTTATGTGTAAAAATTCACTAAAATTGCAAAAATAGTAGACATGAATCCATGATTTTAAAAATATAATGGGTTCAAGTTAAAAACATTAAAGTTGAATCTATATAGTTTAAATTCTGGATCCGTCTTTGCATGCCGGTAGAGATCAAAAGAGAAGTGTTAAGTTACCCTAACCATAGCACCAGCCAAAATCCCTGTACCAAAACCCCAACAACTCCCTTAAAAGTGGGGGGGGGGGGTTGAGGATGCAAAATAAATATTAAAAAAAAGAAGCAAAAGAAACACAGCTTCTGAATTAGTGTATCACCCCCACTATCATGGAGATCAAAAATATTTCTACATCAGAAAAAAAGTTCATAATTTAATAAGAAAGAATCAGAATGTACACAGCTGCAACACAAAGAGATGAGAAAGAGGGAGTAAAATGGAATTACCCAAAATTAAGTTGAATGTCTGAAACAAACACTGCGGCTATTTTCCGACCGCAGTGCAAAGGGAGATGTAGATTCGGATAAAACAATATAGAGAGAATTTATAGGAACAACAAAGATATATAAATATATATAAGCGGTAGAGGTAAGTGAGATAGAAGATAAGAGTGACAGAGAAGAACACCGTCACTAGTGATTTGGAGGATTTTCAGCTCAGCCGAAAATTAAGATAGAGACAAGACTCGTTCTTTATCTGTAATTCAACGACATTTGTTTTCTTCAACTTGCTGCCTCTACTCGAACGTGAATATTCTTTAATTTCAGGTCAAACGCCCGGTTGAGCTGGATTTGAACAGGTCCAAAATAGATTATTAATGTATGTATTATGTAAGAGTAAATAGACTTCCCATTTGTTTATTTCTTTTTTATTTATAGTATTACTTAATCATCAATGGGAAAAAGATATATGTGTGCACCAAATAAATATTTGGCAAGGAGATCCAATCCCTCCATACACGAGTGGTATGGAGTGGTACTCTTGGATCAGTGATGTATCATCTCAGGAAGAGAGTCAACTGATGGTTTCTAACACAAGAATGCTGTAATTCAAGCGATTATGCCATACAACAGTACAGTCTCTCGCATGATCAACAAGGTTGGAATTTATCTATATTAAGAAAAGCGGGCAACTGGCTAGGAGGTTCACGTAAGACAACTGAATTACTGGAGCATATACATTTGATACATTGCTGGAAAAAGGTTTAAGGTGTTACTAAAGCAAAAATTCAGAAGCTTATCAAGTTGGAAGATATCACATGGCTAGTTTTTATATCTCAGTTACTTTTACTTATTAGACTACATAATGTGATATCAATATTGAATACACTCAACATTGATAATAGGATATATGTACTTGTCAAAGTTTATTTCTTTCATCGTGTAAGACCTCCAAACATGGTGTTTTATTTTTGATTTAGATATATATAAAATAGCCCTAGGCAATATGCCTAGTGGATTCCCTCCATACATATTAATTTTATATATGCTATAATATCAAATAAGTTGCATTTTTTTTTGCGGAAGACCTTACTTTTTTAGTAGAGCAAATGAAAAATCTACCAAATCCATTCTTGAGACCCTAAATTATTTTTGTAAACTTTTTGGCCAAAATATTATACTTTTCGAATTTCGAGAGTCAAATGAGTTATTTTTCACCACTACTTTTTACATACTTTTTTAAATATTTTTAATTGTTAATTATTGTGATTTATAGTACCTTTTATGTAATTTTTAAATATAGGTAATTTTATTTAAAAATATTTAACGATTCTATGTTCAAATTTATGGTCAAAGTAAAAAAGTTTGATGGTTAAAATTCGAAAAGTATCATCCTTTTTGGGAAGGAGGGAATAGTAGATAAAAATCAAAAGTATTATTTTCAAAAAATTACTCTACTAATTTAATAAATACCATCAAAACATGCAGACAATACATTCACATCAAGAAAATAATCAATACTACAAAATATTATAACAAGTGTAGTATTTTATCCCAAGTATTGTGATTATTATAATTTCTATAGTTTTTTTGATTCTTTGTTGCAAAAAATAAATTCAAGGACCTTTGAGCATTTATCTTGAATTTAATGGATTTGATCTTGATTGAATTTGAATTCAAGGGCTTAAATCTTGATCTTGACTAGTAATTTTGAATTTAAATGTGGATTTAATTTATTCATCGTAAACTCTTTGATAACTGTCAAGAACAGTAATTATCCCATGAACATGTGACTTTGATGTTGAACACTCCGGTATTTGATTTGTCTTCTATCTCGATCTTCGAGTGTTGGGAATTATAGAGAAGCCTTGAATGTTTGTGACTTTGTTCCGTGTGTTCTCTCTTGCTTCTTGCTAGTGAGAATTCATATAACTAATCTCGACTTATTTAAGATTGAGATGTAATTTATTCATCTCTTCTTCTTCCCCCTTCTTCTTCTTCTTCTTCTTCTTCTTCTTCTTCTTCTTCTTCTTCTTCTTCTTCTCTTCTTCTTCCTTCTCCTCCTCCTCCTCCTACTCTTCTTCTTCTTCTTCTTCCTCCTCCTCCCCCTCCTCCTTTTCTTCTTTGTGTTCCTCTTCCTTTTCTACCTTCTCTTGGCCTTCTTCTTCTTCTTCTTCTTCTTCTTCTTACTTGTAGCATAATTAGAACCAAACATGGAGCTTCAAAGGACAAATGTTCACAAAATGAATAAATCCCTATTAGATATTGTTCATTGATTCTTTCCATGCATAATACATCCATATTTTCTTCTATAAATAATTCAACACAAATTTTTGAACATGCACACATGTCCAAAGTTTAGTCATACATGCCTAAAGTTCTGTCATATATGCCCGAAGTCTCAATTATTTATTCTTGAAGTTCAATCATATATGTCAACTTCAGACAGCCCCAAGATTGCTTGCACAAGCAATATGCCAAACTTCAAACAATATTTGTAACTTCAGACGCAAATTTTTAAAACTTCAATCTCGTATATCAAAAGTTGATTCTAAAATGACTAAACTTATAAATTTAAGAAATGTTGGGTATGCCTTAAATGAGGATCACATAATCAATTATTTGTGCACTTGCCCCTGGACCAGAAGCTCATTCATCACATTAAATTGATGTTATTTCATACCCCTAAATCTTCAAGAAAAAATCCCTTCCTTCGTACAAGAGATATGCCAAAGCTTCAGACAAGTTTGTAACTCCGAACGCGAATGTTTGCAACGTTAATTGCGTATGTCGGAAGTCGATTTTGAAGTGGATAAACATATAAATTTTAGTTGTATTAAATGAGGGTCCTAAATCGGTTATTGTGCACGTTCCTTTGGATTAGAAGCCCATTCATCATATTAAAATGATGTTACACCAAATTCCGAAAGAAAAAAAGCTCATTCCTTTGTGCTTTGCAACTACTAAGTATGGATTAAATTATTGTTGGTCTAATCAACTTTTATTGGTAAAAAAATAGATTTAACATGTGTACCATTCATAAAAAGACATGTGAAAAATAGTGTTAAGTCAACTTACATAATGGTTAAAATATAATTTTGGGAACTCAGAAAACCAGAGATTGACAGAAGATTCCTTGGATGGTCAACTCGAAGTTTTTGAAAAGGAAGTCAAATGTCGTCAGAATTCATAAATAATTTAAGAATTCACGGATAAGAAGGGCAACGGATCGACAAAGGCCGAAGTATCCAAACTTTCGTATATACTCTAGGGTTACAAGATCCTGCGTTAAATGAACCATTACAAGTCATTCAAATGGCTGGAATAAATGAGTGTAATGGCACATGATTCAAGAAAATAGTAACCTAGAATCTTCACTATAAAACTAATACTTGTTCATGTATGAAGACAATCTATAATCTCTAGAATCACGATCATCACTTTAAACTCTATTATTTTCAACTTAGGAAGTCTTACGAGCTCTGTGTAATCCGGCTCCAAACATTCAAGCCCCAAGCAACGATCAAATAATATCTCTTTCTCTTCTTTTTTATAATTCATCATTTTATTTTATATTTTATCATAACAATTTAGCTATTTATGGATTGAGTCTGTATATTTTAGCCCTCAATAATAAATTTAATTGCTTTATCCTAAAAATCAAATTTTGGGTTAAACAGTCTTGTACCTATCATGGGGCTAAAGCAATTTCGCTATTCATCCAAAAGTATCAACTTTTCTCTCTTTATCGATTTCTGCTAAGTTTAAATCATCAATGTGATCGAAGATCTACTAATCAACCAAGATGAAAACATCCAGGTCAGAGAGGTTCAACTATACAAAACAAAAATAGTGGAGCACTATTGCCGAGAATTGATGGAGGACCAGATTTCAACTCTTTCCGAGGAACTCTCCACCATGTCGTTATAGGAAAATGTCACCTAAATGATTGACAAGGGAAACTTTGGGAATTGCACAATTAGAAAAATTTATAAATACACAAAGAACATAGAGTCAATAATTTAACGAGGTCGTAATTAGATTAATAGTACCTGTGAGTGCTATGACATTAACATCACCGAGGGGTGATCTTACAAGTACCCCCTCCCCAAAATTCGGACACTAGTGGAAATAGCTGAAAATTTGAGAGGGTCGTCTTTGGAGAAGCGTTTGCCGGTAAGGACTTCCGGACGACCCCGAAATGGGAAGTTCAAGTTTGCCAAATATTTGGAATTTACAAAACCTAGTTCTAACCTAGTATAAATATATCAAAGAGCATGGTGAATGCATGGAACTAATTTTTGGAATTCTACCTGTGGTTAAAGGAATTAATATGAATAAATACTCACAACGGAATTGGAAATTAAGTGTAGCACCATTGCCACTTCAAAAGAATTTCAAGATACCAGACATTCTGAAGTATGATGGGACGTCAGATCCCCGGGATCACATCACAACATATACAGTTTGTTCATTTCCTAAGCTAACTTTTATTTTTGTTTTGCTTTCCTGCTTGTTTATTTTATTATTTATTCTCCCGAATAGAGGTTGTTTGTGTCGGAAATTAATCTGGCCGAGCCACCGTATAACCTAAGGTCCAAAGGAAAAATGACCACCATAGATAACCCGACCGAAAATGCTCTGTCCATAACTGACATCCCAACGGGTTTAAGAGAAAGAAACGAAACACAGAACAATGAATATGTCACCCGATTGGAGCAAGAAATAGAATCGATAAGAGGGGAAGGAGAAAAAATTCGAGAACCGGCATATCTGGCCATGACGACGCTACCACAACAACCTCGCTTTCCATCATTAGATTCAATTGTATACGGCGAAATCGAAGGGTCCAATTTCACGTCATTAAGGCATTTCGGGGCTGCGAGGCTGTGGTCGATCTCCCTCCCTCGGGATTCGTTGACGCCTGGCCTAACGACAATGTTGGCCACAGTCATGATGGGACTGGAGAGCTCCCTAGGCATGCAACTAATACTAGCAGAGCTTGGTGTCATCTAGTTGTCCCATCCCCCTACTTTTGTAATTAATGCTTTTGTACTATGTTGGAGTTCCACTCCTATATAAAGGGGGTCTTTGACACTTTGTAAAGGTTCGGTCATTTCTCCAATTGCTCCACAAGAAATACAAAAAAACATTCTCTTTGCTCTCTCATACACTCTCTTGATATTATTGCTTCTATTTATTGTCTTCATACTTGTTCTTTATTTATTGTATATCATTGGCCATAAAGAGCCCTCTTTAATTACCTCATAAC